CTGATTAATATTTAGACCTACAGAGTGTAAAATAATATTATAAATGTCAGTATTTTTAGGTTTCTGTTAGAGGAACCTGACTTGTTAAGAAGAACTGTAACTTTCTGTCTCCAAAGTTCTGCACTATAAGAGAATTTCTGTTCTTTTCTGTTTTAGATGTAAATCTAAAAAAACACATTAATGTCATTTATGCAACATGCAAATAGGTGTAAAATACTTATGTCATCTAATATTTTTGTAAACATGGTACTGTTTCTACAAATGTCTTCATCCACATAAATCCCAAAATTACCCGAACTGTCAGCATCTTAAAGTGCCTGTAACATGACTATCCTTTAAATACAAAAAGTCAAAGAAATCATCTTTACACTTAAGAAAATTGGCATAGTACACAATTTTATCCATTTTGTCTCATAACTGGCCTATTTTCTTTTAAATTTGGCTCAGCCAAAGTGAAACAGGAAGTGACATCAAAGGGGAACTCATTAATAAAATAAACTCACTGGTCTCTGTTTAATAAAACAAAATTATTTAAATTTTAACTCATCTTCGTCTCTCTTTGATATCAGATTCGTCTCTACAGTCTGTGTTGTTAGATTTTGTAACAATGCTCTGTTTACATGCTGACATTCCCCTTTGACATCACTTCCTGTTTCTTCACAACCAAATATCCCAACAACCGTTCATCTGAGCGACATGAAATTTGTTTTGCAACGTTATCAATGTTATCTTTCCAAAAAATGCATTCATGTTTATTACAAAAATTTGATGCCACATGCACTTTAAGTGTTGGCTACTACCACACCACATTCCAGCACAGTAAATGTAGTTACATGGCCTGGTTATGGTTTGGTTTATGTGGTGCAGGCCCATGTTTAGATGTGGCACCATATTTGGGTCACCACAGGGCTGTCATTTATAGTGGTTTCTGGGCCCACTTTTAGGAATTAATGCATTGTTTGGGCCAGACAAAGATGTCTAATGTTCAGAGCATGGGCTGGAAATGACTCTCGGCTACTATCACACCAAATTTCAGCTTGATATCTGCAGAAATCACAAGCTTTTTATTTATTTATTTGTTTGTTTGTTTGTTTGTTTGTTTGTTTGTTTGTTTGTTTGTTTTCCCAGTTCACCCTCTAAGGACTCCAAGAAGGGTGGGTAATCTGAACTGTTGTTCGGCCCGTAAGCACACACAACAGTCAGAACCCATCCCCCCACCCGTAGGCGGAGGGAGGCTACCCTCTCGTTCACCGGGGTAAACCCCAACGCACAGGCGCCAAGAGGAGGGGCAACAAGTATACCCACTCCTGCCCGGCGCCTCTCACYGCAGGCAACTCCAGAGTGGAAGTACGTCCAGCCCCTCTCAAGGAGACTGGTTCCAGAACCAGAGCCATGCGTCGAGGTGAGGCCGACTATTTCTAGCCGRAACCTCTCAGCCTCGCACACTCCGGCTCCTTCCCCACCAGAGAGGTGACGTTCCACGTTCCAAGAGCCAGCTTCTGCAGCCGAGGATCAGACCGCCAGGGTCCCCTCCTTCGGCCGCCCCGGTGACCCGCGTCCGGGCGAGGGAACGTCAGATCCAAAGTTATTGTTCATCATAAGGGGTCTTTGGGCTGCGCTTTGTCTGGTTCCTCACCTAGGACCTGTCTGCCTTGGGTGACCCTACCAGGGGCATAAAGCCCCAGACAGCATAGCTCCTGGGGTCATTGGGACACTCAAACCCCTCCACCACAATAAGGTGGCAGCCCAAGGAGAGGTGAAGGAGAACCCCCCACAAGGGGGACTTGTGGGGGGTTCTCCGGGAGTATGGGGTACCGGGCCATTTGATATGGGCTGTCAGGTCCTCGTACAACCGGTGTCAGAGTCTGGTCCGCATTGCCGGCAGTAAGTCGGGCTCGTTTCCGGTGAGAGTTGGACTCCGCCAAGGCTGCCCTTTGTCACCGATTCTGTTCATTACTTTCATGGACAGAATTTCTAGGCGCAGCCGAGATGTTGAGAGGATCTGTTTTGGCAGCCTTAGGGTCGCATCTCTGCTTTTTGTGGATGATGTTGTAAGGGATGAGTTATTTATGCAAATAAGCTCACCTTACATC